TCCACCAAATGAATCAGTTATTTTTTTTGGTGCTGATTATTTTACTGTAAATTTTGTAAATTTCTTTGTTTAATTTCTGATATAAAAAGCTAAAATTTGCCTTCCTCTAATATTCCTTCTTGAAATTCCCCAAAGTATGCCTAGTCCTAGTGAAAATCTGAGGCTGAGCACATTATTAGGATGCAGGGAATGCTGCAGTATTCTTAGTATCTTATCTCCCGATATATCAATATTTATGTATTGATACTGGTTCACTGGTTTTGAAACTTTTTGACAGTGTAGCTGTGTCTGTGCTCCTTTGGAACTGAGAAGCCAAAATTACCTCTAATTATTGACAACAACAGAAATCACAATTCCCAGCCCTGAGGGAACTGGGTGATTGCTTGTAATTAAAGGTAATTAGTGGTCTCTTTGATTGCTACACCTTGGCTAAGTTTAACCCTTGCAGTCTTTCCTTCCAGCCCTTGCTTATGGTGGTACTAATGGCTCTACAGCTACGGTGTGAGTCAGTTGTCATTAAGCCCTGAAGTCTAATCTTGGGCAGAAAAAAAGATTAAATTTCACTTGCAAGCTACTGTTTAAGTAGTACTTGACTTGGTTAAGGAGGGTGCTTATAATGCGAAGGTCATGGGTTCAATCCCCATAGAGGCCATTAACTTAAGAATTGGATTTTGTAGGTCCCTTCCAACTCAGAATATTCTGTGAATATCTGTGAGAACTAAAAAGTGGAATTGCAACAGAAATCTGAAACCAACATGCCTCACTCATGCAAGTCAGCTGCAATGCCTAAGTATTTCCCCATCACTCACATATACTTCAACATGAACAATAAATAGGACAAATGAAATCCTGTGATACAGCTGAGCTGCTCTCCCTTCTCCCAACTTCCTTCCAAACAACAAAAAAAAATTGTTCTTAACTGAAAAGGAGCAAGAACCATTTTTTCCTGTTAGGATAAAGACTGAGGAAAATCCACCCAGCTTATTTTGGCATTACCAGAATTAGCAGAAATTTCAGTGTTTTACAACTGTTTGAATATAGCATTATCATAATATTTTGGAATATTGTACCGGCAGACTCATTGCACTGCCATAACTGAAGTTCAGAGATCTGACTCAGATGTACGATAATAAAACAAAGACAAATACTCCGCTGCATTTTTGTTGGAGGCATTAGCGGTAAGAGAATAAAATTTAGTCTGGGTTATTTATGCATGGACAGACACATGAATATTTAGTAGTCATACTAATTATAGAACTTGTTCCAATGTTTGAAGGTTTCATTCTGTCAAATGAGATTAATTAATGGGAGAAAATGCATGTTCACATAGGCAATATGTAGGAATAGCAATAGGCAACATGTCAATACTCTTCAGTGCCTCATGCGATCCCTTCAGCATGGGGTAGCTTAGTTGTTTCTGCTGCGGTACAGCAAAGACTTCAGAAAACTTGCTGTCTGAAATTATTGCTTCAGTTTGCTCATGCTCACTTGAAGTGCTGTTTCTGTCAAACAGGCTGTCTAGGAAGCATTTTTGGATGCCTTTCAGCGGGCCTTTTAAATGTTACCGCTATACCTACTTGACTCTAGTGAAAGTAAGGAGGTCTCTGAACTTTCCCACTGTTTTTCTAGTCTTTGCTTAAAAAATAAAAGAACTATAGGGGCCTTTAAGGAAGTTTGCCGCTGAGGAGTTTAACCTGGGGACAGAGCCTAATTTACCACGTGTTATGTCAGAGGTGGCTCTGACCATTCTGCCTTGGGCTCACGTATGAAATACTTGTACAACCACCCTGAGAAAGGCAGACCTATGCCTGCACGCCCTGGTACTTTGACTGTTTTGCAATGATACCTGCCCTCATGGAGGTGCATCGTGGATCCTACTCTCCTTGGCTGCCTTTTAAAACACCTATCTGCTGCATGTCAGCAGTGTCTTCCTACATTAGCAGTCATGTAGAACTGGAAGAAATTAAAACCCTTCCTGCACAGGGCTCAATCTAGAGGCTTTTAACACGAATGCCACTATGGTCCTGGACTGAGGAAGTAGAGGTAAAGAGCGTGAAGCCCCCATTTGCCCAAATCTATGTGCTGTAATGAAGGAGGCAGCCAGTGTAGGACGAGCTGTTGGCCTGCCTGGGACCTCCATGTTACTCTTCATCCCTTGCTGTCACTGACATAGCTGACCGAGTGCCCTTAGAAGGGAGCGTGCAAAAGCCATCTGAGATGGGTGTCCCAGGTCCTCTCCCACAGGCAAGTGGAAGAGGCATGAAAGCTGCTTCCAGGGATCAGGAAGAAGCCATCCTGCCCTGGACCTTGTGCCAGGTAACAGAGTGGCAGAGGGAAATCCAGTCTCTCACTTGAGCTAGACCTTGTTTGAAAGCAACAGCGGTGTCCTGGATCCCTCCTGTATCTCCTGAGGGCCAGCTGTGGGAGGATACAGCACAGTGGGTTAAAGTTTGTGTAGTGCTGCTCCAGCCATACATCGGGGCATGCAGTGGTACATACACAGTGCTGTCTGTGCTCCCAGCATGGCCTTCGCCTTCCGGAGGCTGGACAACAGACGTTTCTGCCGGCCAGGTGGACTTTTGCTCATCTGAACTCCCCTCTGCTTTGAAGACATCGCTAATCCACCAGGAGGTGACTTACTGCTGCATTCATCAAATGACAGTCATGATAGTGAAGCACTTTAAATGGAGTGAACCAGATGGTGCCATTCGTGCCTTTCAGAGCTGGTCTTGCCTGCCACTTGTTGCCTCAGTGCAGCAACATGAGTGCGAGAACCGAAGCAGTGCTGCTTACTTGACCTATAAACTTCATCCCCTTGGAAGTTACTCTGTCACCATGAGGTGACCCATCAGTTTAAGGACAAGGCAAGCAAGATGATATATATTCATGTCAGATACTTATGGCACAAGTTCATAATTTCATAACATTTTACTGTCACACTGTCCTGGTGTTTGCTATCTTGCTGGCAGCTATCACAAAATCAGACCAACAGGACTTAAAGAAGCAAGGGAATCCCAAACTTGAGCTCAAAATGGTGATACCAATACTTTGCTTTCCCATTTTCCCGTTTTATTTCCTCTGTACCTTAAAATCAAATGAGTGGAAAGAAAGATATATTTTGTAAATGCTTTACTTGCCACCAAAAATCACTGATGTGTGCATCACATTTAGCAGTGGGCATCAGTGTAATGGAAAGTAGTACTAGCAGTGAAGAATAGCGTTGCTATTATCATCACTACAGGAGGAATGCAGTCTTCACTCTTGTCAGAAAATGGCTTGCTATGACTGCTTGTGCAGGTCTTTGTATCATTCAAAAGACATTCCTGGAGCAAATGTACTGGGTTGTCCTTTGTAATGCACAGGGGAAACAGGACCATCTAAGGAATTATTCATGCTTTTACCCCTCAAAACTCGCCTCTTTTCTCTGAATGTGTACCAACTTGACTCAGCTGGTTGCTGGTTATATTTGAGAATCTCACTTAACTGCAGAGAGCTGAAGATGGTTAACAATTGCAGCAGCACTGTAACTGGTAACTCCTTAAGAACTACTCCTGGGAAAGGATTTAAACTGCTTGGAGTGATGGCTGATACAATAGCACTTAGCAATGAGAAAGAAAACAGTCATATACAACCAGCTTTCTGAAAAGCAAGGTCAAGTACTTCAGAGACCTGCCCTGGACGCTAGGGCGTTGCAGGCATATGATTAAATGTCATGGCAAGGAAGAGGTGACTGCCTGAGGTGCTAATTCCTTTGCTGCAGGCTCTGTGTCTCAGATGACAACTTTTGCAAAACGTAACGAAATGCGTAAAGACATTTTGACAGTTATTTTCCCTCTGCTCTGCTGGCTTTGGCTGAGAGCACCACATCAATAACCTTAACTACAGAGAGGCATGCAGGGATCTTGGCAGAGTTTGAGAGATGATTGATTGGGTTGGTGCAATGAAGTAAATTCCTCTTCTTCCTGCTGCCCAGAGCATGAACACTGCAGGTGTAGAGAGTCATGTCCCATACCTTGGTCCCTGATGTATCCAGGGTGTTCCAGGGGACCCAGAGGCAGGCATCCTATTTTAACCTCCACTGTACGAACCCATTATTGAAAGACACCGATACATCTGTGACTAATGTGTTGGGCTTGTTCTCTTTTCAGTGTACTAACTTCCCCTGCCGTATTCCGTGGGGTTTTAAGCAATGGCACTTTACTAATTTGTTCACTTTTAAAACTGGATTTTGCCTCAGTTGAAGCCTTACAGTCCCTGCTGCAATGAAGTAGATGGCTGTTTACCAGAAGCGGGTTGCTCACTTTCTGTAATTTACTTTTTTTTTTTAATTTAATGCTTTGGCTTGCTTGGGTTTTTAATCAGAGCACAAGAGAGAAGGAGGCAAAGAGGGAGACAGAGAGGAAAGCAGTTCTTGGGCTATGTTGACAGACGACTGTTTCCTCAGTTGTCAGGTTTTAAGACTGTCGGCAGCGCTGCTGGTAAATGAAAAAGAAATAAAGCTAGGGCGGGGAGGGCGAGGCTGACCTGAGCGGAGGGGCTGTGTGCTGTCACGATCACGGCGGCAGGCAGCCTGGTACGGCAGCGCTCAGTCCTGGTTACTCCTGCCTGCAGCTGCCCGACTCCACATAGCTGCCCCTACAGACAGGGGATTTTCTTCCCCTCCTCCCTTGATACGGATCCCTCAACTGGTATTGTGGATTGTATCCTTGGCTTATCGTAATAAAAAAAAAAAACCAAAACAAAAAAACAAGGGAAAAAAATTCCGTGTGGGTTTGCCATCTGGAGATGAGCCTTTGATTCTCTCGGTCAGCCCGAGGATGGTTGCTTGTTGGCACAGCTGCCCCCCACATACACCTGAGCGCTCGCAGCTTGCCCCCGCAGCCCCACTTGCCGGCGGGGGGAAAGTGTCTGCCAGAAATGTTAGCTGCTCCCGGGCAGCGTTGAAGGTGGAGCCTGTGCATGCGTAGTGGCAGCAGCCGCCCTCTCAGAGCTTTAACCAGAGGTAACCTGCAGCTATGGAGTCACCGACTAAGGAAATCGAAGAATTTGAGAGCAACTCTCTGAAATATCTGCAGCCAGAGCAAATAGAGAAAATCTGGCTTCGTCTCCGAGGCTTGTAAGTAGTACTTTTTTTGTTGTCTCTTCCAATTTCCTCCAACAGTCAAAATTATTGTAGTACTTTATTTTTTCTTTCTTGCTGGTACGTTCAGAATCTCCCAGGAGTTTCCACACCTGTTCTCCATAAATACAGTGACTTAATCTTAGCAAAATGTCAATTTACTTCTTTAAATTGAACTGCTTCTTAAATTGAACAAACATTTTCAAGTTGGAATGTAGAAATGTCATTAATGTAGCATTTTAAGATATAGGCAGTTACTGAGATGCTAGTTACTTTGGGTGTTATACTAGAAAAGTTTTGTTGTAGCCTGAATGGTACTTGATTGAATTCTGGTTTTGATGCAACACAGAGAAGACTTTTCCCCCACTATAAATGTACACAGTTTCTGACACTGACATGATTATTAAGAACAAAATAGGCAGAGAAGGCACAACTGGAATACAACTGGAATAGCATTTGTAATGGCAGGAAATTCATCTTCCACTGATTGGATTGTACATTTAGCCTGACTTGCCATGAAATGACTGGACATTGCCTCCTGAGTAAAAAAAAGTACCTGTGCTTAAAGAACTTGGCACTGCAGAGCAGAAAAAGCCGTAGAGTCTGCTAGCTTATTTAGAAGCAATATCTGGTGTCTTTTTCAGATTCTAGGTATGTAAAATACTATCTACCAGCAATAAGATCCTTTACTGGCAGCAAACCATTTATTTGTCCATCAGTTTTCGGCCAAGGAAAAGAGGAGCATTACTGTGTTAAGCTACTTACCTTTCTAAGTTCAGAACTGTTTGTTTACTTTTCTTCAGCCTTACATGCTTGAGTTATTAAAATTTTAGCCCTCAAGGGAAAGGCTGGGGAGAAGGAAACAAGGAGGCTTGGAAACAGCAGAAGCAACGAAATGAAGGATGAGTAGGCTAATAACTGAAAACAAATAGGTCCAAGTTAAACCTGAATTGCTCTTTGAGTGCTATTTTGTGTGAGAAACAATGGAATATATTGCAAAGCATATCCAAAACTTGTGAGGGACTCCAAGCAATCTATGAGATATGCATGAATATGTATTTCTTTCAAGGCATCACTCCAGGAAGCCTATTGTGTGAAGGAACTTAATCAAAGCAGATAACAGCTGTTTTGTAAGCCTTCCAGATAGAAGAGCCACACAAAACAAGCCTTCTAATTTCTAAATCTATGCCATGCTGTACTATTAAGATTTCTTGAATTTCTGTCTAATATGGAGTTAAGGAGCATGCTGATTTGGATTCCACCTGGAGTTCATAGGTAATTGTTCAGCAGCATTGTTGTTTGGGATCTCTCTTGCAGTTAGTACAAGCTCTGATCTCTTCTACCTTTTGAAAAGTTAGAAAAACTTGAAGACTTATTTTAGATGTGTAATAGCTAAATCTCAGGCTGTTTTTCAGTATAGCCCTCTTTGTCAGCATGAGTGTAACAAACGTCTCTTCTTCTTTGTGTCAAGATTTCTTTGCCTAAAGAGGAGAGAGATTTTTTCTGCAGAATTCTTGATCCCAAGATGGAAACTGAAATGTGTTCTGTAGATTTTGCATTCCCAGTTATTTTTTGGAGGCTTTTAGTTCATGTATACACACACACACAACTGTTTGCAAACTGAGTTTTGGCATCATGTTTTGTGTTTTTTTCTTGTCTGTCTTTATGCATGCTTATATGTGTAAGAAGAACGATCACATGTGCACAACCCTCTTAATTAAATCTTAAATAAGATGCTTCAGCCTGGAGAGGTCAAATACTGCTTGAGAAGACACCTTTCTCCTCTGCCACTAGTACACTGACAGCCATATCACACAGAAATTAGTTACAAGGCACAGCAGTGCTACCAGAGCAGTCTTACAGAGGTAGTGAGAGAGGGCGTGATGCTGGCTGAAGATGCCTGAGGAGTTGTAGTCTGCAGCATACAGATATCCAGATACCCAGTAATTTGATTGTGATACCTCTCCTTAAATGGGAAGGGTTGTGATGATTTAAATAGTCTGAGGTGCTAGGCATGGTGTTAGACACCTCCTTGGTAGGACTTCATCTGTGACAACTCTGGTACCTTCTCACCCCCCGTGCCCCAGCTGGTGTGTTACTCACAATGACTTCGTGGACAAAACAATATCCATCACCTCTTGCAATATTTGGCTTTTCTAGAGGGCCAGGAATGGGGCTCTTTTAATTTTCACTCCATCTCGGCCTGCTTGGTTTGAAGGGAATGGAAACCCAAAGGCTGCTGCAAAGGGGTGGTTAAGTTGAGGCTCTTTTCAGATGCCCCTAATGTAGTGTCTTTTCTGTTTAAGCAAGTCTAGTGAGGGCTTTTTTTGCCACGAGCCTGGTACTGTTCTGTCATGGAATCACAGAATATGCTGAGTTTGGAAGGCACCCACAAGGATCATTGAGTCCAACTCAGGCCCTGCACAGGACCATCCCTAAGAGTCACACCATATGTCCGAGAGTATGTTCCTCTTGAACTCTGTCAGGTTTGGTGCTGTGACCGCTTACCTGGGGAGCCTGTTCTGTCCTGCAGGATGGCTGGCCTCTGGAGGTTTGGGCATGGAACGTATACTTTCAAGGTATAGGGAGGTCTTTTGGACAGCAGGGAAGGACAGATATTTGTGAGGCTGAAGCGAGGTGTCTGTTGCAACATGAATCATATGTTGCTCTGAAAACCAGTCAAGATACTGAATTTGTCTCTGGAGTGGAGAGGAATGGTTTGCTTCTCCTTTTCTCTTTGTATCTCTCCAAGATGTGGTTTCTTAGTCAGGACAGCCTGGTTGATTTGTAAGCATAGCAGTGTGAGGCAGTGGTTGTTATGCCATATACAAGTTCCTTTTGCTTTAACTGTTTAAGAATGAGCTAAAATACTAATGTATTGAATGTACTGTACTGAAATGTTTTTATTTGACATATACGTATTAATGGTGTAAAGATTCTGTGCAGTAATTTATATGAGAAACAAGTCAGTGGACCTATAGTGTTTTCTCAGGTTTAAGGGAGTGTTGTAAGTTGTCTCATAGGGCAGTAAGTCATCTGTGGCAAAATCTTTGGGTGTCTCTAACCAGAGATTTATGAAATAAATGTTGCCTTTTACACATGACCTATTAGATATCAATTTAAGTTTAGTCACAGCTTACAAAAAGAATCTTTTAGTGATTTGTTATTAGTAAGCTTTGAGGAAAGTTTTCTGAATAAGCCGTTGTTGGGCAAAGGTACTACTAGATGGTTTCCTTGCAGAAGAGGCCTCCCAGGAACAAACCTGCTTCAGAGTTTTAACAACATCATAAATGAATCAAACTGGAACAGCTTCAGTCCCTTTAAGGATATCTAATAGGGCTTTTGCTTTTGGCTGCTAGAGAGTTACATATGAGTCCACCTTCCAGTCTCCAGTGATTGCTAATAATTTTGCTAAAATTGAGACTTTCTGCTCTGCAAAACTTATCAGTTAAGATTAGCTGAGAGCCATGACAGTTCACTGTTGGCAGCAGAGCTTGGAGACACTATTTCAAAACACATGGTTCAAGATTGCTTGGTTGCTTTTCAAGCTGACGGTTTCTCTAGGGAGGTAAGGGCAGTGGTGGTTTTGTTGTGGTGTTCTTCTTTTAGCACTTGGAACCCTAGCTGTGGGACTTGAACTACAATCTTAATCTGCTAGCTACAACTCTTGAAACTTCACAAAGTGGCTTCAATTGCTTCCTGATTTCTCAAGAACAGAGAAGCCCTTTTCAACACTAGGATTAGATGTTGTGTCTGAGGACACTGAAGAATGCGGAGGTATATATCCAAAGAGCTTTGTGAGTTTCAGTAGGGATGTGCTAGTTTACAGCAGCTTGGAGATATTTTTTGTTTTGATTTTGGTTCCTTTTATGCAGAAAAATAAAACCTTTGTTTCTAGCTATTACAGTAGTACTGGCATCACTGGCATCTGCTGGTGCCTCTGCAGTGCTTTAAGCATTGCACGAGGAGAGGAGGGAAAATGGACTTTAACCTTCTTCCCAGTAGCTGGGCTTATAATGTTGAATTGCTAAATACATAATAAATCCCTTCATTCTCAGTGTAGTTGTTCCTCATGCTACTCTCATAGAATCACCAAGGTTGGAAGAGACCTTTAATATCATGAAGTCTGACTGTCAACCCAGCACTACTACTGTAACCCCTAAATCACTAAACCATATCACCTAGTGGCAGCTCCAAACACCTTTTAAACACCTTCAGGGATGGTAATTCCACCACATCCCTGGGCAACCTATTCCAATGCCTGACCACCCTAACTGAAAAAACTTTTTCTAATATCTAATCTGAATTTCCCGTCTCAGCTTATGGCCATTTCCTCTAGTCCTCTCATTGCAGGTATGGTAGAAGAGACTAGTTCTCACCTCACTACCACCTGTTTTCAGGTAGTTGTAGAGAACAGTGAGGTCCTCCTGAGCCTCCTCTTCTAAAGACTAAATAAACCCAGCTCCTTCAGCTGTTCCTCATATGGCACATTTTCTAGACCCTCTATGAGCCTTGTTGCCCTTCACTAGACATGCTCCATCACTTCAATGTTGTTTTTAAAGTGAGAAGCCAAGAACTGAATGTAGAATCATGGAATCATAGAATATGCTGAGTTGGAAGGGACCCACAAAAATCATCAAGCCCAACCCTTAGCCTTGCAGAGCACCATCCCCAAGAATGACACCATGTGCCTTAGAGTATCATCAAAATGCTTCTTGAACTCTGTCAGGCTTGGTGCTGTGACCACTTCCCTGGGGAGCTTGTTCCAGTGCCCAGCCACCCTCTGGGTGAAGAATCTTTTTCTAATATCCAACCTAAACCTCCCCTGCTACAACTTCAGGTCCTTGGTCCTGTTACTGGTCACCACAGAGAAGAGATCAGTGTTTGCCCCTCTTCCCCTCACAAGGAAGTTGCAGACTGCGATGAGGTCTTCCCTCAGTCTCCTCTTCTCCAGGCTGAACAGACCAAGTGACTTCAGGTGCAGCCTCACCTGTGCT